AAAAAAAAAAAAAAAAAAAAACGGCATTCATATGTTTATCAGCAAAGATAAACGTGTTGGGCTTGCTGTTTGGAAGAGATCTGTCAATACGTGGCTGAGTTGTCATTTTGCTTACTAACTTGAGCCGGAAAGGTAGGAAGCTAAAGTTTAATAAGGGTTTTTCCTGTTCACGTACGACTCGGAAAGTTTGAGTCCAGTTTTTTCACGTTCGTGAGGGTACATAAAATTTGAAATTGCATAGTTTTTGAACTCTGAGACCAAACCATCTTAAATATTCAAACTTTATCGCGAGCTTTTGCCACTTCTCTGCCCTAAAATGTGCAAGCTGGACTTAGAAATCGTGTACTTCACACGTACGTAGGAACATGTGAAAGTTGAAGTTGTAAAATTTTTCAGTTTTATAGCCAGGTGGCCTAGAAAACTGTAATTTTTTGTTTCATAATTCATAGCAGTGTCTCTGTCCTAAAACATCCAAAATGGCTGCCTCAGCCACTTCCTTCACATGTTCGTAAGGTCAAATGAAGTTTGAAATTACAAAATTTCTGAACTCCAGAGCCGTCCAACTAGGAAAGTTTGGATTTAGCTAGAAAAATCCGGACTGGAAAAGTTCGGACAACAAGAAAAATTCGTGATTCTTGAAGCAAAATTGTCAGAAAGCAAATGAGTAACTGTTTTAGCTCGTTGCAAAAACGGACGATCAGATCAGAAATCCTGGTGCAGGCCACAGCTTTTTGTTTGTTACTGTTGAAGGGTTTTATTATGCTTATTTCAGCTGGTGCGTGTGTACGTATGTGTGTGTGTATGGATGTGTGTTCATTCCGTTCACTTTTCTAACAGTATTGTCTAACAGATAATGGGTGATGATGAGACAACACAGGCAGCTATTGAAAAAGAGGATGATGAGGAGTATGGCGACGAATCGAGCCCAATCATTTCAGTGGAAAATAGTCAAACCCAGTCCGCGATTGATATCACTGCGCAGTACGTTTATGAGCGCCTCAATCCCAAAGTTGTCTCCAATTTGGTTCTCATATCTCTTGTTAGTTTTCATATTTTCTTGCTTTAACTGATATTCATCACAGATTTCAAGTGTTGCGCTCATTTTTTTTCTCGACTTGATCAGTCTCACAGTACTGAAATTAACATGGATGATGTTCTAGGATGAGCGGCTTATAACATGAATTTACTGTTGCATGAGCTCAGTCCGGTAGTTCTCTGTGGAGTGAACAATTAACTGTTTGCAAGTACTTCTGTATTTTTGCTAGGATTTCCCAGAACATTTGTCATTTCGCCATGATTTCCGTATGTTTTCTTTCAGGTCACGTTACCGGATGAGATGCCCGCAGCGTTTCAGTCTTCGTATACCCCAATTGCAGCAGCTGGCACTGAGAGTCAAATCCGTCATTTGTCACGCATGATTGCAACACAGTTAACGAATCAAGAACTAGGCCCCGGAGTCGATAAAATCCGGTTGGAGAAACGGCAGCAGTTTATTGGTAAGTTTTTGCAAAATCTTGGTAGAAGCGTAATTGGGAAAGTAAAAAGAAATAAGAAAGGCTTTTGATTTTTTATGAATATTTTGTCTGTTACAAATATTGCTTTTGTGGTCCGGAACGTTATGGAAAAAGTAATTAGTACTATAATTTTCGTGGCCTCAGCTGATCATTTGCTTTGTGCGAAGTAACGTCTTCTTGCAGCTCGTCAGGCAGCACGAATTGAGGGAGCTATCATTCCTCCCACTCCGATGTACCAGTTCGCAGCGACACGTGAACCGTCTCCGCCGCCACGTCCTGAGTTTATCCCTCCTTCTGTTCGTTTTCACAATCTAATGAAATGCTTGTTGTTATTCTCCTAGCGACTTTTGTTGTTGAGCATTTTAAATTTTTCAAAATATTAAAATTAGTCGCCGTACTGACGATTCTTATTATACTTATTTTGATCACCTACCGTTTTCAGGCTATTCGAACAAAGGCTAAGACAAAAGTCCAGTTTGGGCTACTTTCTGTCACAAAAGAGTTGAAAAATAAACAAGCGGAAGGTCTAATTCTTCACGTGTTTCGACGGATTCTGGCCAATGAAAGTAAAGCTCATATTTGCTTTGTTCTTTGTCAATAATTTTAAGTCCTGTAAGCTGTTTGTAGTGCTTGAGATGCATTGGAATACAGCTGATTGTATTTCTAGTACTTTTCAAACATGCAAAGTAGACTTCTCGCATTTCCATCCGCCAAACTTAATATTTTGATATTTCGAGCAATTGCTATTCCATCGATTTTTTACCATGGTTATGCTTGAAGACGACTCCATTTTTGTGCGATCTGAGCTTGCCTCTCACAAATAATACGCACAACTCCATATAAGCTTTTAGCTTGATCTCTCCGTCTCACTTTTCGATGTCTTGCCAATATATGCCTACTGTTGCGTCAATACCATTCAACCAATTCGTTTTATTACATTTCTTATCCTGGCCACGTAACCACTGTTGCTACTTTTTAGCATATACGGTCTTAATAGTGACCAGCACCAGTGATGTTGCGCAGTTCACGCGAAAAAATATACAAAAAACGAATATGACTAATAATACTCACTTGTCAGGCGCCTGAACCACATCCTCGTGCCCTTCACTGGAAACGTTTAATTGGTGCCCGGCACTTTTATTAACGTTCTCTGCTTCAAGTAATTATTGAAGTGCACTATTTTTTGTTCAAATTAATGATGTTTTTAGAAAGAGCAGTTCAGGGTGGCGCGGGTATCGCTCAGCAAAAATTATTGGTCAGATTTGTGACTCGCTTTGAACATGGCGAAGACACCAGATATGAGGATGAACTCCTCAGATTTATTGTGCAAGAACAAAAATCCCGGACTGATTTGGCCCTGTTTTGGATTGCAGAGTTGTACGCGCAGTTTCTCGGGTAATTAACTTATTTTTAGAAGATTGCTTCATTTCATATCTGCGAGTCCACCCAGCCTTATTTAGGTACTCGTTGTGCCACACATCATCTACCCCAGAAGGAATTTATTCGGAGAAACGGCGTTATGAACGTTATGATGCAGTATTGACTATTTTACTAAAAACACTCTTCGAAAGAGGGGAGCACAAAGAAACGTAACGTTAACATTTCCTTTTTCAATTTTTGAATTATTAATTTCCAAGAGCCGTAATCTGTTTTGAAAACGATTCCTTTCGAAAAGTAAGTGTTGCGAAGTTCAAGTATTGCTGTTTTCCCTCTTTTCTTTGTTGTTGAAAAGAAATGAATTCTAGTTGGTGCCGTACCTCCTACAGATATTGGCCTTGATGAAAGAGGATGGGGGAATTGTTAATAGGTGAGCTGAAAGGCCACGCGAGCAGCAGAAGATGTAGCATATCCTGCTGAAAGAACAAAGGGGGGAAGTGGCTGCAGGATCATCAGTGGGTTGCTGGCTGGTTTTGCAGTTGCAGGATCCTGGAAATGTAAACTGCACTGTTGGCCCAGAAATACATTAAAATGAAAACAAAGATTTACGAAATATTGAAATGAGTCCCATTTTTTATTCTTTCAGTTCTGATCATTTTTGATTTTTGCAGCCTCTTCCACAAGATTTTACTGGAAGCACCTTTGCTAACGCCACAGTCTCTGGAATGGTTGCGAACCGCGTGCCTCGATCGAGTGAGTGATAAATTTCCATGAATCTTTTTGCCCTAAAATTTTCGTTCGACATTTTCAGAGTATCTTCACAGCGGTACCTTCTTTCATTTGTCGATCTTTGTGCCGGTCATTTGTAGTGTTTTAGTTTACCGGACTTCAGAGAAATAAAAATAGTCAGTCAGATGGTCACCGAAAAGATAA